TAGAATATCAAAATACAAAGTTATGATAAAAATATTGAAAGAAGGTGCAGCTGCCTGTTTGAAACAAGAAATTCCGTTACATAATCCGTTAAAACAATAAATTCCGTTAGTTTTTCCGTTAAAAACAAGAAATTCCGTTACATAGCCACTTTTAATATATAGAAGATATATAACCAATTAGTCTAAAACTTATTTAATTAAAGTGCAGTCCTAACACCTCAATTATAAATTCGATTAATTTTATAATTTTTATATTAATTATAATTAAATTCGAAACTTTTATAGTAATTACAATTAAGTCATTGTACTTTATAGAGCTATCAAGTGAACCTGATTGGACAAATATTATCTAAACTCCAATAATTAGAACATATTTAATTTACCATAAACACGGAATTTAATTATTAGTCTTCGTTTTTTCCATTAAATGTGAAAAATTGTATTCTCGAAATATATAAGATCACACAAGCTAATATATAACTGTAACATTTTCTTGTGATCAGCCAATATGCACCGATAATTATGCATGGGCATGAATGTCCATTTTACCCTTCTAATAAATCCAAAATGTCGAAATTTAGTCGTCGCTAAACAATGAGCTCATATTTTAATCGTTTTGACATAATACAATGTAGTCACTTTACTTATTTTTCAGTGCGACAATTTTCAACACGAATTGGTATTCTCTACTCCACTCATTCTCAATCTCCCAATTCATCGAAATGTTTGACCAATTAAATTGTTCGCGATCATCTACAGGGGCGGAGCCCGGGAACAAAAAATATTATATTGGATTGATACATAGGAAACAATTCTCTAAAAATTTGCCCACACGTACGCCCTTACATCCTCGCTCACCGATGAATCAAATAACCATTTCACGAGAAGATATACGCAACCACGTGAGGGAATTTAGATGAAATGTTTAACAATCAAGTGAGATTTAATTCTCTAAACGATCATGCTATAAAATTATACGTGGTTCGTTTAACATACTCTAAATGTAGTGGTGTCACGTTTAATTATTTATGCGATAAGGATAAATCGCGAACACGAATAGTAAATCAAAACCTTATACATTGATTGTGAAAGAATTATTTATAATCAAAATATAAATTGTGTTACAATGTACTTCTCAACGGAAACACCCAATTTATATTATTACAATTGATCATATGCACTTTAATTTGCATGCTCAATGTTAAATAATTGAAATAAATAAATAAATTCACAATTTGTTTATTACAAGATATTTTTTTATAACAATTATGTCGTCATACAACCTAACTAACAAACATTTTTAGGACTGACAACTGTTCAACTAATCCCTACTTATTAGCCACATAACTTTGACACACTCAAAATCTCAATCGCTTATTTTTCTTTATTTATAAGTCAAGCCGATCCAAACGTGCATTTAAACATATATACTTATTTTAAGCATTCAACAAACTTGGACGAATAATGTTATTTATCGTTAAAGTGCATAACAATTCTACTGAATAATGAACGAA